ACAAACACTGCTTTATTCTGAACTTCACTGAACAGATCTAATGCGCATATACAAACATCTAATTCTCAGTGATGTTGTTAGATGTCGGAGCAGTAAATAATGTTATTCTTAATTATTAAACTCTCAACTTACGAACTCAATTTAAACTTTCCCATACTCAATATTTAACAATATTTTATTTTAAAAAATGTTCCAGTGAACATTGGAATGGAAAGTACTGTCCAACTCTAGGCAATTTGAAGAGGTAGAATTTTAGTTAAACTCTGCCTGTCACTTGAAACTACATTACTGTATACAATGCAGTACTTCAACATGTTTCACCATGTTTCACTTGGGATATTTTTCTAAGAGTACCTTTATTTCCTGGATTTAATGAAGTAAATAAGGTATATTTATATTATTATTATATGTAAATAAGTGAAAAAAATATTATAAAATTTTTGTTTATATTTTCATTTATTTATTTTTAATTTTGTTAATTTGTATGCTAGTTCTATTATAAATAATTAATATCACTAGATCATTTTGAAATTTAAAAAATTTGAAATAAGTTGTGTTTTGTACATTAATATGACTAAAACGTAAACAGTCTTGAGCCCCCTTACAGCATGAGGATTTGAGAATATTTGAAATTCTTGAAATAAAAAAGGATTGCATTATTTTACATATGCTAGCCTAGGTAATAAATGTGAAAAAATAAATGCCTGATATATATAAAAATGATTCATTTTGGATCATTCAATATCAATTCCTTTAAAATACTAAATTTTTATTCAAATCTTGGACTAGATTTCTATCAATTAAATTAATGTACTCTGAATTTTGTAATTAATCAATGGCTATTTGACGGCCTACTGTTTGTGTAATGTGATGATTGTTAACATGGATTATGATTGGTATCAGTTTTGTCTGTCTTGAACAGATCTGACTTATAATAGTGATTAACATCAGTAAAAGGTTGAGAATGATATTTGGAATTATTCATTTTGAAAACTTATTTTATTAATAATTTAAAAAATTTATCATACCACTGACAATAATAACCAGCAAAAAGAACAAAAATTTGACTGTACAGTTGTCCCTTGATAATCCGACAGGTATGGGACCAAAGGTGTGTCAGATTACCAAAAGTGTCCGGATTACCGAAAATAATTACATATTTCGCATTGTTTTGCTAGCAGTAACTTACAATATTCTCTACTCCAACTGTTCAAACAGAACTGCTCACATAAAACACACGAAATGTGTGTCATTGTATAAAAATTGGATGGGGAGATTCACATCGCGACATGCTTCTGTGCAAGCAGACACGTAACGGGGACGAGTACCTTGACGGGAGGTGCGTCGGACTACTGAGCATGTCGGATTAAAAAACGGACTATAGAGGGACAACTGTATTAATGTTTTGTTCTGTTTATAATGGACATCATTAGGTTATTGGTGTTAGTGGTGTGATTTATTTATGTTTAATCCTGTATTTTGACAATTAGTATTATTCAAAAATTCTTTAGGATATAAATTATTGTACAAAATTATTATTAAAAATATTAAATTTAGAGCATTTTCATTAATTTCATTAACTTAGGACTGAAAAGAGAACAAGAAAATAGTATGGAATTTTATTTGCATAAATTATTTGAAGTGAAAACTAGAGTAAATTTTCAATTTTTCATGTTGAATAATACATTTGCAGGAGAGAGTGTTGTTTTCTGCAAAATTTTAAAATTAATGGAATTTTAAATAAACAAATGCATATTAATGCTATCAGTAATAAACTTTCAAAGCAATTAATATTTTATGTAGAACTTTGCAGTATTTTGCTATACTCAACTGTGACTAAATTCATGACTCATCTCTAAACTAATTAAAAGATAAATTTTATAAATTATTTCTAATTTAATTTATAAATAGTTAATAGAACTGGTTNTATATTTTTCTCAACAAACACTGCTTTATTCTGAACTTCACTGAACAGATCTAATGCGCATATACAAACATCTAATTCTCAGTGATGTTGTTAGATGTCGGAGCAGTAAATAATGTTATTCTTAATTATTAAACTCTCAACTTACGAACTCAATTTAAACTTTCCCATACTCAATATTTAACAATATTTTATTTTAAAAAATGTTCCAATGAACATTGGAATGGAAAGTACTGTCCAACTCTAGGCAATTTGAAGAGGTAGAATTTTAGTTAAACTCTGCCTGTCACTTGAAACTACATTACTGTATACAATGCAGTACTTCAACATGTTTCACCATGTTTCACTTGGGATATTTTTCTAAGAGTACCTTTATTTCCTGGATTTAATGAAGTAAATAAGGTATATTTATATTATTATTATATGTAAATAAGTGAAAAAAATATTATAAAATTTTTGTTTATATTTTCATTTATTTATTTTTAATTTTGTTAATTTGTATGCTAGTTCTATTATAAATAATTAATATCACTAGATCATTTTGAAATTTAAAAAATTTGAAATAAGTTGTGTTTTGTACATTAATATGACTAAAACGTAAACAGTCTTGAGCCCCCTTACAGCATGAGGATTTGAGAATATTTGAAATTCTTGAAATAAAAAAGGATTGCATTATTTTACATATGCTAGCCTAGGTAATAAATGTGAAAAAATAAATGCCTGATATATATAAAAATGATTCATTTTGGATCATTCAATATCAATTCCTTTAAAATACTAAATTTTTATTCAAATCTTGGACTAGATTTCTATCAATTAAATTAATGTACTCTGAATTTTGTAATTAATCAATGGCTATTTGACGGCCTACTGTTTGTGTAATGTGATGATTGTTAACATGGATTATGATTGGTATCAGTTTTGTCTGTCTTGAACAGATCTGACTTATAATAGTGATTAACATCAGTAAAAGGTTGAGAATGATATTTGGAATTATTCATTTTGAAAACTTATTTTATTAATAATTTAAAAAATTTATCATACCACTGACAATAATAACCAGCAAAAAGAACAAAAATTTGACTGTACAGTTGTCCCTTGATAATCCGACAGGTATGGGACCAAAGGTGTGTCAGATTACCAAAAGTGTCCGGATTACCGAAAATAATTACATATTTCGCATTGTTTTGCTAGCAGTAACTTACAATATTCTCTACTCCAACTGTTCGAACAGAACTGCTCACATAAAACACACGAAATGTGTGTCATCGAG